AAATTTTCGGCAACTCCTGTTACCTTCGTCAGCGCATGAGTATCAATGAGAAACTTAACAGAATACATAAGACTATACAATGGGTGATTAATCACCAGATCTATAAACAATAGGTTACACAGTCTTATGACTAGCAATAGTTTATAAGGAGGCCTTCAGTCTGACATAAGCAAATTGGCATAAATAACTGGTCAGAGTGGCAAATCTAATGAATGGTAAACAAGGAAATAGGCCTATAAACAACAAAAATATGATGATGATAATAATATAATACTGTCAAATAAAATGTCATGTGGACACATAACTATATATATATATATATTAGGCCTACATATATTAGTCGTTAAAACAAAAAAATATGATAACAAGGCGTGTAGACTGTTGAAGACTGTATTTATTTTTTAAAGAAATTATCGGCCAGTCCTCTGGCCTTCTTCAGCTTTACTGAAAAAAAACCCCAAATTATTTCAAAAAAATTTATTAAAAAAAAAAAAAAAAAAAAAAAGTTTACACTTTTCCAATAACCCATTTCTAACCATTTCTATATCAGGCCTACCTCTGCTAAACTCAATTTTCGGGATGTACTCGATACACAAGCATCTATTGTATCCAATCCAGAGGTGACGGAACTAGGGGGTGCTGTGTTGTGGAGAGTAATGTGTGACCGGAAATGGTCTGCAGTCAGTTGATTGTTACCATGCGCCAGTGATGTTGGAATATATAGTACAGCAATATGAAACTATTATGTAGGCCTAATGAATGAATGAATAAATTTCGGAGTTCGACGGGTAGTGAAATTATTATTTCACATTTTAAGTGCTCCATAAATTCATAAGTGTAAGCTAAATTACGGTGATTAATTTAATTAGCGAATATATGGAGACAATTATTTCGAATCCCTCTTTCCAAGAGGGGATGCAATTATGCTTTGTGAAAATAAGTACGCCGCGGTACTCATTTTCACAAAGAAATACACACAACTGGTTAGCTAAAAATTATGTCAATGTTACATGAACACCTGGGAAGGAAGGTGCAATCACGTTGTTACCTAGCAAACGTCTGTACTGTAAGAGGGAGGGGCTGGTGATGTACTGTGTAGCGGGAAACGATGAGGCTTAAGACTAGGCCTAAACTAAGACATTGGAATTATATGTGGTAAAAAGTACACTTTCGGAAGAAATAAATTATAATAAGAAAAAAAAAAACAACTAAGAATAATTTATTTGCAGAGGTACCTTGTTTAAGTATTGTACAATGCTAACAATGCGGCTCTTGTAGCCCCGGCTTGGGCAAGGCATCCATGTGCAAAGCAGTGGTGTTTTGTTTATCCATGAAATAAGCACGCCAGGAAAGTTTGCCTTACCAGGAAAAGGTGATGTATCTAGCTTATGACGGATGCATGCTAACTAATGTGAGTGTAACGTCACCAAAAATGAATATTTTCTATTAAAACCAAAATATTAATAACTACAAAGTTTCTGGGCACAAATTCCCTTAATATGAATGAAGAGTTGCTCAATATCCTTGCCATACAAATAACAGCTCCTACTGACGTCTCAGTCGAGAAATACGGGTAGCTGAAGTTTTTCTCGCAAATCTGACTACAAAACCATATCCAAATTCACGTTCCACTTTTGGCCCAGAGTTGTGCTTCGCACTCGCCGCTGAGGGCGGCGTTCCGGGAACCTGCGTCAAGTTGTTCTACGACCAACAGCGCCTTGGTTTACAGAAGAGCTTCGAAATTTGAAGGCCAGACGTCAGTTGGAACGCAAGTCCCACAAGTCTTGTTTGCAGTTGGACAAAGACCTCTATTTGACTAAATGTAAATAATTTAATAGTCAGCTTGCAGACTGCAAGATTAAATACCTCACTAATCTGGCGATAAACTGTCCTGATTAGAATCTGGTTGGTGAATGGCTTTACTTCTTCAAATCCTCCAGTCTTGCTTCCACCTCATGATGATCTTTGTGATTGATTGAAAACATTCGGAATGGGATGCATAACAAGCATTTAACCATCTGATGCTAGCATGGTTACAGCGCTCTCTTGAGTACCAGGAAAAATGACTACATTATCCCTGTTTCTAAACACTACTATATTATAATCATAGTCTAGCGAAAAAGATAGAGATTGATGCAAGTTTTATAAGCAGTAGAGATTTATAGTTTTTTGGTACGAGCAGTTTAAATGCGTCAGTTTTTGTAGAAAACAACTTCGTTTTTCTGACTTTGTTTTCCAAGGGGTTCGTAAGTCGCCGCCGGTGTGGGCTGCACGATTTTATTTTCTAATGTGTTAGGATACTGCATGTGTGAGTGTGTAGAGAAAGTACAGTGTGTACTAGACCTGTTGTGGTACAGTAGTTTGATAAAAAAAAAATAATTATGTATTTGGTTATGTATTGAAATATGAATGAAATACATTATAAAATTTTTACAGTACTTGCTTAATTTGTAGTCTGTGTAGGAAACACCCTAAATCCTAAATTAACTGTTCCAAAATAATTACGAGCTTGACTCGCAGTCCACAGTGAAGCGCACAGTGCGCGTTGGCCCAACAATGAAAGCGTATTCATCAATGAAATAAGTTGCAGTGCTTGCAAAATGTTATCGTAATGTAATACCTGTCTCTTATACACATCTAGATGTGTATAAGAGACAGGCATGTGTGAGTGTGTAGAGAAAGTACAGTGTCTACTAGCCCTGTCTCTTATACACATCTAGATGTGTATAAGAGACAGACCTTCGTCAGCGCATGAGTATCAATGAGAAACTTAACAGAATACATTAGAATATACAATGGGTGATTAATCACCAGATCTATAAACAATAGGTTACACAGTCTTATCACTAGCAATAGTTTATAAGGCGAGGCCTTAAGTCTGACATAAGCAAATTGGCATAAATAACTGGTCAGAGTTGCAAAACTAATGAATGGTAAACAAGGAAAATAATAGGCCTATAAACAACAAAAACATTTACTAGTAAACGTTGGCTCCTCAAAAACCTATCTGAACAATGAACACCCCGGGGTGCTTATTCGAATAAATGCGGTATATTAATCAACTTCAACAATGACAATGACATGGAAACAACTTAAACAAGAAAGGAAAAAAAATAATAAAGGCCACTGTTAGGATCACAATTAGAAGGCAAGCCTTGTTTTATAGTGAATCTAGATGATAGTAATAATAATAATAATAATAATAATAATAATAATAATAATAATTACAATAACAATAATAATAACAATAATAATAATATTATTATAATTATTATTATTATTATTATTATTATTATTATTATTAATACAGTAATCAAAATAATAATAATAGAATAATGATAATAATAATAATAATATAACAGTAAGAATAAATAATCATATTCATATTCATATTAATCATATAATAATAATAATAATAATAATAATAATAATAATAATAATAATAATAATAATAATAATGATAGTATGTATAGCTTTCATTTTGGTATAGGCTTAAATAATGTCATTTCAAGTTTTTTTTTTTAATACAACTATATCGGCCAGCGTCAGTCTAAATAGACTATGCGCCGAATTTTTGTCATCCTCAGATGCCAGAGTTGTCCTTTCCGGTGTGTTTGCCAGGGTAATGTTAAAGATCCATGGGTTACCCAAGCGTCATGCCTAAATTGCTGGTTCCAAAGGAAAGCGGAGCTATACGTTTGGCACAGATTCGGCTGAAGCAAATGGTTTCCTACCATAAGTTTATGTTAGTAGCAGGATGATGCGATCCATCTGCAGCTGCCGGGTCAATCTTCCCATACCTTCACAGCTTGGGAGACCCTACCACATACTGTATGATGTATGCGCTGTGCATCACTACAAGAGAGCAGGACACGACAGAGGCAGGTGCTGTACAGGCAGTAGAACCCCTCATTTACGAACCCCGATTTTACGAATTCTCGATTTTACGCTCGTAATATAAAGGTGATGACGTCATAAAAATTGAAGCGATGATTAAAAAAAAACCGCTCGAATTGTACC